ATTTTCAGTGAACACGTATTTGAGGTATGAAAACTAAGCTGGTGTAAGCTTATACTGCTGTTGTTGTCGAGTTTTGTTCTACAAGAAGTAAACACTCCCAGTCAATTATGTTATACAACACCTGAAACACATCTTTGCATGACCGCAAACATACACAAACGTGGCGAGCCATCTTGGTGACGAACATATCGCGCAAGGTAATCCACATGATGATAAGAGCGCGCGCCGATAACATAAAAGCGTGCGCACTCGTTCTTCTCATCTCTCAAGCAATAGTTGGGCGGCCTATGATTGTTGTGGGTACAATAATGGACTAAACCACAATAGGAATAACAGGACTCAAATGTATAGAGGCCAGGAAAAAATCCCAATTGTTATTCAAATAATCTATGATAATTGAGGATTATTTCTTTCCATATTAGGTGTCATTTGAAGCTATACGCGGTAGGAACTACAAAAGTGACATTGCATTGGATGATATCAAGTTCCAGGACGGGCCATGCGATAATTCAGGTRCCAACCTTTTGAAATTYCTGGACTGACGATTAAGTTATATAAATTGTATTAGCATGCATACCGGTAAAATGTCATGAAATAATGCATGAATCGCGCTACAGAAATTTAACAGGCAAACATGATCGGTGTTAATTTTTATCATCACGACCCACTATAAATCTCTGCCATTCAGAAAGTTGTGCGAAAAAGTGCAATTTTTCTAATTGCTAATTTCCAATGTGTAAAAGTAATGATAGTGACAATGTATCGAGTGTTTCGTTTAATAATTTCCTGGGAGTAAAAATGGCTGCATTCAAGGGCGGATCCAGGGAGGGGCAAATAGCTCCCCCTCCCCCCTCAGAGCAGGAAAATCGAACTGATTTTTATTATTTTCAATGTTGTTAATAAGAAATAAAACCCATTTATCCCCCCCTAAAGCCATTTAGCACCCCCCTTAAAATTTCAGCTGCATCCGCCCTTGGCATTATATCCCAGTCCCCGATTGGAGTGGCGACAATGTCTTCTTTCTCAAAGATAACAACCTTTTGCAACGATATTAGTAGCATAATAAGATCTATACTTTGTTTTAGCTTCCCTTGACTGTGATTTTGATGTTGACTTGTGCGAATGGAAGTCAGTCCGAGGAACCAATCGGTACCCATGGAGGAGACGTACTGGGAGCACACCCAGCAGAGGAACGGGGCCGAGCGGCGACTCCACAGGATCTACTTCAGGTAATTATTATCAACAATTGATAACATTCAGTATTACACGAGCGGGCGGAATTATGAGTTTCTTTTTATTTATTTCTTTTTATTTTTATTATTATTTTATTCTTGATGGCATTTCAATTGCTATTCATTCCAGCCATAAAAATAATAACTACTGGAATAAATAATGAAGGCGGAGAAGGCGTAAATGTGGGMAGGRTCAGCTATATTTTAGAAATTGGGAATGGGATGTAACAATCAATGGGATTTTGATTTAAAATGGGAAAGTGCATGGGATTCGTGGCCATTCSTACTCCTCCYTCCTCCTTTCAGGAACCTCTTTAATGTCTAATGAATACGTTGTGTTGAAAACGCTTTGAGAGAACATCAAGATTCGCCTGCGCTTGAATACTAATGTGAAATAGCTAATGCTGTATTAATCGCTTTTTCACAAGGATCATACGTTTACATGGAAACATCTTATTCTCGGCCAAGACGAACAGCTTACCTTGTCAGTCCGGAAGTCGCACCATCYAGTCGCTCGCACTGCTTGAGCTTCTTYTATCATATGTATGGMAAAACAATGGGATCCCTCAACGTCATCATCGTGGACAAAATCAAAAAACGTTATTCATTGTTGTCTACAATAACTGGAAATCAAGGCAACGTTTGGCATTATAAAGAAGTCACCATTACCAGTCTTAATAAATACCAGGTAGATAGCAAATCTTATTTTGACAATGAMATGTTCATACGGGGCAGGCAGGTCTCATTCGAACCATTCTAGCAAGTACAGCGTTTGACAATATGCCGCCTTTGCAGCTGGGGGTCACGTGACCACACCTACCTTARATCAATCAGCAATGACAAAATGATGTTCAGAAATGGAAAGAGGGCATCAAAATAAGTAAGAAGACATAGTTTCAATTCTCAACACTAAATATTTCAAAATTGATAGCAAATAAAAAAATCTATAAGGCTTGCTCTCCAGTTCTACTTTCCAATACGTTTCTTTAGAAAAATCAATATTTTACATTTGCTGTCATTTTTGAAGTATTTAGAGTTGAGACTTGAGACTTTGCCATTTAACCAACATAAAACTGCTCTTTCAATTTCTGCACATCATTTTTTGATAGCTGATTGATTTAAGGTAGGTGTGGTCACGTCATCCCCAGCTGCAAAGGGCCTATATTTGTGCTCGCCAATCCCGACTGGGCTCGTTCGAACAATGGTATTCATTTTTTGTTGATCATTTAAAAATTTCACTGCTATCAATTCTGACTTATAKTGTACGTTTATAATCTATCATATTTTATATAAATTAAACTTCTATTTTTTTTTTCAGGTTATCTTCCAGGGAGTACGAGGGAATGGATATCGTAGTGATATTGCTATTGATGACATCGAGTTCAGGAAAGGCACATGTTAACATGTCCCATGATTGAAAACAATCGGGTCTTGCTACTAGTACTAAATGATTATGAGCACATTCGGGAATTTCTAAAATAAAACTAAAAAAYCAAGWAGAATCAAGATGGCGTAAAATTGTACYAATAATGAACAACAATGTRTCAACTTTGCACGTTTTAAGTACAGTCTTGCTTGTTGGGTATGAATTTATTAAAAAAAGAAATACACCGATAGTTTACTTGTTTGCTTGTCTTRCAACAATGGTCAACAATATAGTGTTTTTGCAAAAATTCTGTAGAAGTCGACAAAAATCTATATGAAACCTTAATTGCATATTACTCTTGTTTTSATGATTACTAAATTTTTTCATTAGTATCAAACCCAAACAGTATCTGAATAGCATATCAGCAATATTATTTATCGTTTTCTACTTCAAAATTAAAGTTTTCACTCGCTTTACCCGCAATGCAACCAATGTATGCATATGCTGAAATGTACAGAATTCTTGCAAAAAACTGTATAAACCGTAGGATCCTGGACGATAAATTATCTAGAGAACGCACACAAAATCCGTGAAATCATATAACGACTTTGTACAATCTAAAATATGCTCCGCAGTCCGTCTTAAATAATTTCATTCCAGTACATTCAATTTTTCCAGGAAGTTGATTCTTGACGCTGGATAAATCATAGTATGTCCATACTATTTAAATAGTAGTGATGGCTGTTTTCCTCGATGAAACACTTCTCTTTTTCACATGAGCGCAAAGACGTGGACACGCAGTTGATAAAGTTTGCCTCAAAGCTCTACGGAACTTGGGCAGGCGCCAAGCATATACGAAGGGATCGAGGAAAAACTTGAAGAACAAGAAGTTATCGACCACAAGAGCCACATTCCTCCATATAGGCAACTGAGATATTATAAATCTACGCGAAGAAAACAGCCAAACGTACCACACGATTGTAACTGGTAAAGTAGACGCTAATAGACAAAATATTAGAAGGATATTCACGCCAATGAATTTGCGATGACTAAGAGATGATTTGATGCAAGACTGTCGCTTGTTTCCAGCGAAAAGACGTCTCAGTTTGCTTTTTTGCCTGACGTAGGAAATCTGTAAACAAGTATACGCTGCCATGAGCACTGCTGTGAAGCCAGTCATATGAACAGTTAATTGGACAATCTCAAATGTCTTTCTTGGGAGGCCCACTGGGTAAGACAATGCAAATATAACTGAATAAACTAAGACTGCAGCAGTTGCAATACTTACAGAACGGATAGTGACCAAAGCTTTGTGCTTGTACGGGGCAATAACCGCTACAAGATGTGTCACAGACAAGAGAAGAACAAGAAGATACGAGGCGTTTATTGTAGTAGCACCAATAACCATTGCAGCTTCAGTTAAAATTCTGTACTCTTCTTGAGTGATGGCTTTGAAATAAATCGAAAAATAAAGATACGAATATAGTGGATCGATTATTAAGCCGTTCAAGAAGTCCGCTATAGCCAGGGCGGCGATTAAGATGGACACAGGTTTTCTGAAGTCATGGAACCGATGTCTATAGATGGATGGTGAATAACAACAGACCATTCCCAAGAATCGTCCCTATTGCCAATAGAGACAGATAAATCGCTGCTGACACAAGTAGTGTGTAATATGTGCTAAGAGAATGCTGTACGGGAAAAGGACTATTAGAATGATTCAGTGAACTATTCGTTAGGTTCGCGCAAGAAACCAAAGAAGACATGTTCAGTCTTGAAGAAGTCAACTCTGGTCATGAGAACCGCAATAACTGAAGTCTGACGYAGTTTGGAAGTAACCAAGACTTAAATGTTCAATYGTACGATTCCTATGTACACTTAGACAGCAGTCAGACAGATCGATAAAGAGCAAACGTCAACTCTAAATAGGTATTCTCTAATACATCTGTTATTTTCTTGCACTATTCGTGTCAAACGAGGCGGGATCGTTTACACAGGTTGTGAAGGCTACTTGATACATTGATTGTACAGAAAAGTTCTCGTAATTAAAATATCTGATAACATCTGCAAACGAAGAAAGAGAGTCGACTCTTAAACAAAAACAAACAAGCAAGCAATAAAAACATATCATAAACAGATGGTTAACGCCTCCTCTTCTTTCTCGGAAGTAGCATACTATGACCCTCGATAGTCCCTCCCATACATAGTGTTCACAAGTGGAGCAGATCGTTACGTCATTCTTGCGTATTTCTTACGTCATTCTTGCGTATTTCTTACGTCATTCTTGCGTATTTCTTACGTCATTCTTGCGTATTTCTTACGTCATTCTTGCGTATTTCTTATGCGCACTGTGCGCGATGCAGACATTAGTCACACAGGTGACTACTTCAAATAAAGTCTCCTCTCACAGCCGAAGTTTGGTTCATTTTCCCATTTTATCAGTGCGGCGACATTTTTCATCAAATAAAACGCAAACTCGTTCCCAGGTCATCATTTGTTTTGGGATCAGACAAAAAGGCTCTGCATCAGCTGCTAAGTTTTCACATTTCATTGGCTGAGAGCAGAGGAGGAAAACATTTTTCATCGAATAAAACGCAAACTCGTTCCCAGGTCAATATCATTTCGTTTGGGATCCAGACAGGAAAGGGCTCTGGCATCAGCTGGTAAGTTCTCACATTTCATTGGCTGAGAGCAAGGGAGGGTCTCTTGGCTGCGACACGGTCGTAGAGAAAGCGATATCTATCTATCTATTTATATCATTCATCCGAATATGACCTCTTTTGACAAGCTGAGAAATATTTCATCACCGTCTGTACGTAGACTACTGATCATCATACTAAATATTGTGGATTGAAATGTTAAAGTAAATTTTACAGCCAATTTCATGTAAAACGAATTTCTGTAAAACCTTCGTTCATGAGGAATCATTGGTATTAGCATTTCAGCCAAGAAGAACGCTGTCATATGCCCTTCCTGGCTTAAAGCTGCTTATAAAGTACTTGGCCAAGCTTGCTGTTTCCGCATGCCGGTTTTTTGGCGGGCGCAAGGATTAATCGAAAATAATATCGATGATGGATATCTAATTTTATGAAAATTTATTACACCAAAAATTTCAAGGTGTTTGCCAGCCGATGACAGGGACTTTTKCCATTTTCAGTAATAATTCAGCCYTCAAAACAGAGCTGCTTCGTTTACTCCTGTTTTCCCTTAATTGTTTGATAGGATATTTAATGTTTTTATGTTTTTACTGATAGCGGTCATTGTGGTGAGTTTCAACACTGAAAATGATTACTGTCTATTCTCGCCGAAAAAACATTTTGTCAGGAAAAAAAAATCTTGCCATGGAAAGGATTGTATGTATATCCAATAATTCTGTTAAAAAAATATATTGCTAGCACAGAAGTCAAAAAAAAAATTTTTTTTTCTACTTTTCATATTAAAAAAAAATATATGACCCCAAAAATTCCCCTACTCCCCCCCCCATCACTTTTCTAATGGGTCGTCCCTTATTTATAACATCTTGACCATTTTAGCAGCCTTGCTTTATTGCCGTTTAAGCGTCAAATCGCACGGGAAAAAAAAGAAAAAGAAAAAAACAGGAAGAAAGATTTCACTCGTTCGCCTCCTTACTCTTTCTTATACTTCTAGTAAACTCGCGCCACCGTGTAATATCTTCTWTATCCTCTATTTATAATAGAATTCCATGACATTAAGTTATAGTAAAAATATTATATGATCGATGAAAGGCCAAAAAGGTAAAATAATAATTGATTAAAGTAAGAATCGAATCAGCATGACGTGACAGGAGGGCATTTACATATAAGTCACTACTGTATTATGTATGGTCTATTTATGCTGAAATCCAGTCTAGTCGATCTGCTATCAGGAATTTTATCTCTTTACTCTTCAACTCAATKATTTATAAAAGAAATATCACTAATACATGTCTGATCTAATCTTATCTAAAAWTTTTCACATCTTTTATAAGCTGATGTTTTGATCAATGCAAAATCACTTTAACAAAATGATTTCGCTTCGTGACTGAAAAAGAATTATATTAATTAACGTATTGTGGTGAGAACAAAAGATTATATGTCGCTCCAGTGCTCCATTTTACTACACTGTAATTTCTATTTTAGACTATTAAGCTCTCAGCGATAAAATACAGAATTATCTATGGGGTCAATCGATAGCAAAACGTAAAAAGATTAGAGTCGATTGAGTTGAATCCCTCACGTTGTTATTACAGGTATTATAAGCTCTACTTTTCTGTACAACTATACTATACCAATGACAGTGGATAAACAATTACCTCTTTGTTTTGATAAATATTTAGCACTTTTAAATCTACATCTATTCTTGTAAGGAATTATATCTATGAAAAGTCTTTAAYCCACGGAATGAATAAAACCTACTGCGGTTGAATGGGCTTCTCGATTCCCTTAAAGAYTTACATCGAGTAAGTTTTCTTTCTCCTTGGACCTCGTGTTCACTGTCCTCAGTATCAAAAGTTTCATACGTAAACGACTTCTTGTTGTTGTTTTTCCGTCCACTTCTTTCATCGGAAATAGCATTGTGTGTAAGAGTTGGTGAGAGACAAGCACTATCATCGTAGATCCTCAAAACCACTTTTCTTAGAACTCGAATCCATTCCAAGCAGATAGATTCAGAGCWTGCTTTAAACAGATGCACGCCATTTTTAGTCTTTAAGGCAAATTTATAACTCACTATATGCTTTCTTTTCTTGTTTAACTCAACTACTTCAGTACTCAGGGTCAAGTCTGTATTTAAGCCTTTCCCAACGTAGGTTCCATTGACAATCAATGTACAAGACGAACCGCGTGTGAGTTCTATACTTCCAGCCCAACCGCCGTCGTTYGAATGAAAGAAAATCATCATGTTATCCTTGATAATAACCCAGAAATCTTTCCATGTTTTCTTTTTGATCTTTTTYTTGAGGTATTCTCCGTGGATTATGCTCTCRTCGTTTTGATCTTCTAAGGTTTTGAACCGTAGTCGATCAATGTCAGCCATGTCTAACCAGCTCATTTTGMACTCAGTATTKTAGTTTGAGGASAATCTTCYCTTAAATGAAAAGCACTTTATAATWGTCCTGAAGCTGATACGAGTCGTTCTGTTAAAATAATCTTCAACGTTAGTTCACACGAACTACCGTGTTTTCAGACCAAATGTTACTCGTGGTTTAGAGCGGTCTGTGGGCATATCTTGTTTTGGCAACTTACTGACAGAATTTCKGCTGMAACCACAGGGARCCCASWCAACGTGCGATTGAATTTCCTCAAWTTTTTTTCCTGAACTTTTTTTTCGACAATGTCGTATCTTCTGTATTTTACTGATATCATAAATCGGTAAGATATATTCCGGCTATTTTTGATAAGAAATCATTTAAAAAAAGTTAGAAACGTTCTGCGCTCAATCAATATCCTAGAGGATATTACAGACAACAGAGGATATTACATCAGGACAAATAGAGCTTCGAGCGGCCATTTGTTTTATTTTCTGTATATTTCATATATCAAGCCTGTTTCATTATTATAGTGATCAGTAGCATAATAATGTGATTCGCATCACTTTCGGAAGAAATGTGATTTACTGACTGGCCAGGATTTACACAAACTGTTTCCTAGCAGCACTAATGACGGAAATCAMAGCTGGTATCACAACGAGGCTTGAGACATGGTGAGACTGGGACGAGCTTTTCACATTACAGCGGGATGGAGGGTGAGAGTAGGGCTTGTCGATAATGGTTTTCCTTTCCATGTTGTCTTTCTTTAGGTAGTCCTATAACAATATCATTATAGATCATAATTATGTTACTCCTATTTCAAAGATATGCAACATATAAACTGCAGGGCCGGATTCAAGGGGGTGTCAGGGGGT